TGCTGGAAAAGAAAAAATCAGAGTAAAGTATTAGTTTCCTATTGCTGATGTAACAAATTACCACAAACTTTGTGACTTAATGCAACACAAATGTATTCTGTCACAATTCTGTAGGCAGAGGTCTGAAACGGGTCTTACTGGCCTAAAACCAAGGTGTGGCAGGACTGCATGCCTTTCCTAGGCTCTAGGGAACTATTTGTTTCCTTACCTGTTCCATTTTCTGGAGGCTATCTACACTCCTTGCTTCATGGCTCTCTTTCATCTTCAAGGTCAGCAATGGTCAGTCAAGTTGTTCTCATACCAAATCACTCTGATGCTGATTCTGCCTCCATCTTCCACTTTTGGACCTTTGCGATTGCATCGGGTCTGTTATCCAGCTTATCCAAGATAATCTCCTTCATTTAAGGTCAGCTGATTAGCAATTTAATTCTATCTTCAACCTTAAATTCCCCCTTACCATGTAACTTAACACATTCAAAGGTTCTGGAAATTAGGATCTTTGAAAGGGACATTATTATGCCTTCCACAAGGAGGATATATCTGCTTAAAGTCTTGGCCTTGAAATGGTAAATATCACTTATAGTTACATTACATGGTTGAGAATTAGTATAACTGAAAGGGAAACTGATTAAAAACTCTTGAGTGGGAATCGTATTCCAATTACAGCTATGTTCTATGTTAACAAAAATTAGCTTTTGGTGGACAATCAACTTTCTCCGACACAAAAATTTCATGGCTGGCTCAAGGTATGGCTAGAATCTATGTGCTTAAGCACTAGGTGCTACTGACACATAACAAGATTATGCTCAACTCATAAAATTAATGAAGTGCACTCTTTCTCACTTTTCTGTTATGAAGATGTTACAATGGCATTGCCAATTCTTTTTCCTTAAAAATTTGCTAACATTCATCTATCAGACCGCATAGGTTTTGTGTTTTGGGGGGTCGTAGCTTTTTGACAATTTTATTTCTTCTGTGGTAACTGGTCTATTTATATTTTCTGTATTTTTGGAGAGGAGGATCAATTTGGGAACTTCATGTTTTCCCAGAAAATTATCCATTTCATCCAGGTTTCCAAGTTTATTTTCATAGAATTGAGTTTTACCTCATAATTCATCTAAATTTGTTTATTCTACAATCTCATTTTTATGTATCTGTAATTTTTTTCTTGATCCAGTTAGCTAATTACTTTCACATTTTGCTAGTTTTCAAAACACAACGGATCTTGGATTTATTCATATGTCCAATAATTTTCCTATTTCTATTTTGTATCTCTTTTCAGTTTTTATTAAGTTCCATTTTTTCTTTTTATTTCTTTAGGTTCATTATTGTTCTAATGCCTTAAGTCAAATCTTCTTAATATGTTTATATTAAGTCATTCTCATTTATTAGCATAAAATTTTAAAGTGATGAATTTTCCTGTAATCACAACTTTAGCTAGATCTATAGATCTGATATGTAGTGTTTTTATTATCTCTATTTTCAAAATATTACATAATTTCAGATTTAGTTTCCTCTTTTATATAATAAGTTCTTCAGAAAAAAATTTTAAAAGTGAGGCTTTCATCCCATCTTACCAAGTTTATTTTCCAGTTTAATGTATTGTTATCAGAGAAGTTGCCTATATTGTTACTTTTGGAAAATTTTCCTTGTGGTCTAATATAGTTACTTTTATGAATATGAGTTTTATTATTGTTTTTTTCAGCCTACAGAATTTGATATTACTATCTGTATTAATTATAGCATGTACATTTTCCACATATTGATCTTTTGTCTACTTACATTGTCATAGGTTGAGAAATATGAGTTAAAAACTCCTTATACTGATGTATTGTTTCATTTAATTCCCAAAGGCTCTCAATGACTTCAAATACTGTGTTACCTGATACACAGATATTCATAATGGTTAGATCTTTATTAAGGACTGCATTCTTGACAATTGTAACATGCCCTTCTCCTTTTCTTTATTTGTAATGTGTTGGACCTTATCCAATGTTAAGATTGTGACTTCTGACTTCATTTTATAGCCTGGTATGTCTTTTTCTATTTTTTATTTTCAATATTGCTGAGTAGCTTTAAATACAGCATGTATTTCTTTTTTAAATCCAATCTGGGAGATTTTTGGATCATTTAAATTTGCTGGCCGGGCGCGGTGGCTCACGCCTGTAATCCCTGCACTTTGGGAGGCCGAGGCGGGCGGATCACGAGGTCAGGAGATCGAGACCATCCTGGCTAACACGGTGAAACCCCGTCTCTACTAAAATACAAAAAAATTAGCCGGGCGCGGTGGCGGGCGCCTGTAGTCCCAGCTACTCGGGAGGCTGAGGCAGGAGAACGGCGCGAACCCGGGAGGCGGAGCTTGCAGTGAGCCGAGATCCGGCCACTGCACTCCAGCCTGGGCGATAGAGTGAAGACTCCGCCTCAAAAAAAAAAAAAAAAAAAAAAAAAATTTGCTGATAGGACATATAGATTTTGTCGTGTGATTGTGTTTTATGTTAGCATTGTTTTTGTTGCTTTTATAAATGTTTCACTAAATGATCTGTAATTTCCTTGTTTTGGTTAGTGAGTGTTCATTTCGTAACTTAGAAAGTTTACACTTTAAAAATCTTATCTAAGCCTGGGTTCCTCAGAGAGTGTAGCCTGAAACAAAAGCCTATATGTTATTACCATTTTAGGGCAGGCAATGTCAAAAAGACTGAGAAACAAGGGAAATGAGGCAAGAAATGAGAAAGCCAATAGAATTGTTAGCTACTGCTTGACAATTGTTTGCTCAAGCCCTAAGAGAGAGAGTAAATGGAGTAATATTTCCATTTTACATATAAAAACACTGAGACCTAGCAAAGGTTGAATAACTCATCCAAAGTCTCACAACAGTGGCAGTGGCAAGATTTATGCTTAGTCCAATTCCCTACTGTTTCCACTGATTCTGTCCATGTACCACCTTTTGATTCTGTCACTGCTTCTCTTCTTCACATTTATTAGATGACTGCTGTATTTGTCTGGTAATGAGACAGGGAAACAGAGATAAATACCTGCATGCTAACTGAAATCAAAGTTTAATGACTACTATATGCCTTTACTGCCCTTAATTTGAATCCCTGCCATTCTCTTTTCTTTTTTTCTTTATCTCATTTTACACCTGTTGTCTGTATACTTTCTCAGGGCTCTATAGACAATTCTTGCCTTTCATCTACATCATTTCTGTGACCTTTTCTGTCTATAAAGTGAAATAGTATGTCCCTTTGCTTTATAATTGCCAGTCACTGGTGGATTTCATCATTGTTCATTCACCTCCCAAAAGATGTTTATTCAGTAGAATTACTTTCTTTTCTCGTTTTTGGTTTTTCCATTCTGAGCATTTTCAAATGCTATAATGTCAACAGCACCAATCTCTGGAGAATCAGAATGAAGCATGGTTCTTCTCTTAAGAATGAGCTTGCTTTATGATGACTGTAGGTCATTAAAGAAATTAAATGTGAGGAAATTCTATATTTCCACAGACATATTTTTTGATGCATTTATTTAGGTAGTTTAATTCTCTCCCTTCATTATGTTCTAACACAAGTAACTTTAATATTTACTTAAGTTTTAACAAATAACCTAAATAAACCAAAACAATGTTGAGAGAAAAGGATACATTAAAATGAGCAAAAAGCTTAATATTTTTAAAACCAAAATTTTAAATACCTCAGAAACTAGTTATATCAAAAGAGGTAGTAATCTTTGCCTTCTTTTCGCCTTCTTGCCACCAACATCCTAGATAAGATATGGGCCTGTAGTGGGTAGAATTGTGTCCCCCAAAAGATATGTCAAATCCTAACACATGGCACCCTGTAAATGTGACCTTATTTGGAGACAGTATCTTTGCAGATGTAGTCAAGATGAGGTCATATTGGATCATGGTGAACTCTAATCCAATGCTGGTCTCTCTAGAAAAAGAGTTAGGACACGGATACAAACATAGAAGACAGGGTAGAAGACCACTTGACAACAAAAACTGAGATTGGAGTCAAGTCACTGTAGGCTACGGAGCAGCAGGGGTTGCTGTGACAACCACCAAAAGCCAGGAAGAGGTTAGGAAGTATTCTTTCCTAGGGCCTACGGAGGAAGCATGGCACTGGGACATTGTGAGTCTAGACATTTAGTTTCTGGAACTGTTAAGACAATAAATTTCTGTTGTTGAAAGCCACCCACTTTGTGGTAATTTGTTATAGCACATCTAGGAAACTAACACAGGGTTTTTTATAATTAATAAAAATTAAACTTTTATTTGGAATGATTTTCCCCCACCTTTCATAATTAAACAGTGCCCTATTTTACATTACATAATTTAAGTAAAAGGCATAATATTTCATGCTAATAAACCACATTTTTTTTACTCAGAAAAACATGAACCTTTGAAAAAATACAACTTAAGACATAAGCTTTGTTATTTTAAAATTGTAGGGCTTGTCTTTACTTACATATCTTGCCTATAGATCTCACCTTAAAATAGTAACTATAATAGATTACTAAGAACAAAGTAACAAAAATAGACAGTAAATATCAGTACTAAATCCAATAAACTTTCTGTGTATATATGTTAGTAACATATACAGTATATTACACATTTTTAAATACAACTTTTATATATTAAAAAGAAGACAAAAGAACAGCAACTCATTTTACCCAAACTCAATGAAGGCTACTGAAATCTTTTAGCTGTGACAGAGACCATTTTACCTTAAACATTTAACTGCATATACAATTACTGATAGGAAACTAAAACAGCTCCCTTTTACACTATTATTTCTTGCCAACATTCCCATAAAAATGTTTAGTTAAGGATTTTTGTACTTAATAAAATTCAAATTGTTCTTAGGGTGTTCAACACAACCATTCAAGTAATAAAATAAGTATTCAGTATTATAGAATAATAAAGTATTTCAGTATTATTCAAGTAATACAGATATATGGCAAATCAATCATGTTATCAACAACTAATAACTGAGAGCCATACATGATGAGGACAGATGTAAATATATATTTACATGCATATTTTCACATGTGTATTTGATTTATAGAAACATACATTAGTATGCATATTCTTATAGGAGAGGAGGCAGAAGCACATATAAACTTTATTCATTTTAAGAGCCAACAAATTAAAAATATATATGGAAAAAAAACCCACAGCTGCTAAAAACTGTTCCATTTTAAATGCAGGTAAAGACAAAATTGATCTTTCAACAGCAACAGCCTTACAAAATAATTTAGTCTGCAAAATTCAATTTTATAATTGAAGTAACTTATCACCATTGTAAGAATTAAGAAAATGCATTAAAGAGATTCTCAACTCTTCAGTAATTACTTCAGAACCATAAAAAGGCATCACAAAGAAGGAACAGATATGCGCTCCATAGTCCAAAAGAAATGAAGTCTATCAAACTAATACTTCTTCCTAAAATTACTAAATTTCTTTCAAGTAACTAAGTTAAACATAAAAGCTACAAAGAGAGGGTAACCTACCATATACAACATTCTGATAGATTGACAGTATATTTATGAATATGTGCCCTCACAGATACGTAGGCAATAGATCATAAAGATGTTGATGTGACTATAAAATTAAAAAACTGAAAGGTCAGAAGGCACATTCTAAAGAATATGAAAATATATTAATAAAGTAAAATTATCTAGAAACTACTATTTGAGGCTTTAAAAAGAAACAAAAAAAATACACATTTAAATCTTCTTATTCTAAATCAAAAATATTTTCTTACAAAGTTTAAAGGGCTTTTTTATTATTATTTAGGTCCAAAAAAATGTTTTTAAAATTCACAACAGAAATAACAGAAAATAAAGTGTTCTTCCAATTTCAATATTCTATACAGCACCTCGCTTTCTCCTAATTTTTCCTTAAACTAAAAGGAAACCAGGTAACATTAGTGTGGCAGAGAGTTCCCTGTAGATTCAGTGTGATTTTCCTTATCCTGCTTTTCTTCACGTGGTGAATCTAGTTCATTTCTGCTATCTTCCTCCTCACTGGAATCACTGTCCGATCCACACTCCTCCATCCTGACAGACTGACTGTCATGAGAAGCACTTTCACAGGTTTTGTCTGTGGGAACAGCTCCTTTCCGCTGGGGCAAGATAGTAAAAAATGCTTCTTGCCAGTCTCTTGTTTCCAGGTATTCCAGAATAATCTCAAACACTGCAATAAAGACAAACTCCATAAATTTTTTAGCCAAGTTCATCACAATGCTGCACAATGTCTTTTAAAATACATTGTCTTTGTGTTAAGAGTGCTAGTTTTTCCTAATAACTACTTTGTTCTTATCTCTTCTTTCTATTGTCTGTCAAGCCCAATTTGCCCCAAGATACTCAAGCCTGTTACCTCTTATCTAGCTTTTTCTCAGTTCAGTTCTTAAGCACTCAGAAATTTACCAGTATCCCATGTCAATTATAATCAATAAAGACCTTTTCAGTTTATCTCCTACTCTTTTTTAGCCCCTTCACGTCTTTATCCTTTACATGCTAACAACCTAGATAGCATTCATTTAACTTTCTTCATGTTTCCTGTAAAGAGCCACTCATGCTAGGAGCTCCTTGCCTGCTTTTTTTATTTTGTTTTTCTTTTCCCATTGGTTGTAGTAAACAGTATCAATATTGTCTCCAGGCTACTCACATCAGCATAATGCTGAAGGGCAAACCTGAATTACTTTGTGGAAAAAGTAATTTCCACTATATATCAAAGGTTTCAGAGGAAATTCATTTGTTGAATCAATAATTTCATTTTTATAACTCCCTAGAACCTGCTATATAGAAAGTATTTAGTGTATAAGAAGTTTAATAAGTAGTTGTGTATTGACTAAAAACTCGGCTTAAAATTTTTTTTACAGCAAAGTCAAGGCAAAGACAGGTACAAGAATGGATATGTTATTTGCAACAGCAAAAAGAAAAAAACACAATTCAACCATAGCAGAATGGTTAAATTATTGTATATTCAAATGATGGACTATTACATAGCTATTAACAACAAGTTTTTAAATTAATTAATTTATTTGAGACAAGGTCTCACTCTGTCACCCAAATTGGAGTGCAGTGGCACAACCATGGCTCACTGCAGCCTCCACCTCCTGAGCTCAGGTGATCCTCCCATGTTGTCCTCCTGAATAGCTAGGACTACAAGTACCCACCATCACACCCAGCTAATTTTTGTATTTTTTGTAGAGATGAAGTTTCCTCACGTTGCCCAGGCTGTTTTCGAACTCCTGGGCTTAAGCGATCTGCCTGCCTCGGTCTCCCAAAGTGCTAGGATTAGGATTACAGGCGTGAGCCACTGTGCCTGGCTACCATTAACAATCATTCAATGACATGAAAAAATAAAGTCATAAAGGAGAGAAAATATCCCAGATTTATAACATTGTACATAATATACTAAAAATCCAATTATGTAATAAATAATAATATATATACATAGGAAAAGAACTAGAAGTCAACACCAAAAAGTTAATACCAAGTATTTCTGTGCAGTAAGATAGCTAATTTTTTAACACTTTCATACATTTTCAAAATTTTCTAATATGCATTCTGTTACTTAAACAAATTATAAATGATTACGTTTTACAATTTTGTCTCCAGGAAAGTGTAATACTTTCTACCTGTTCAAATACTAAATGCAATATTCTTTCTCACAATGTTCGCTCAGGTGTATTTTCAGTTTATCCCTTATAGCTTACCATGATTAACTGCCAAAACTTTTCGACTATTCATCTTCACAAAATTTCCAAGCGGGAGCTGTGCATGATTGATTCCATAATCTGATGCTTGTTTATATGTGAGTCCCTAAAACAAAGACACGATGACTTCGACAAGAACATTAAATTATTTAAAGTTTCTGTAATAGTATAAATAATTTTTAGATAAGATTTATAGTTCAGAGACTACCTCAATGGGGGGTATGTGTGTGTTTTACTGCTCATTTGGAAACATTCTCTTGAAAATAAGTATAGTCAATGTGCAGAGCATTTGTTTTAAGCTCCTCAAGTTACAAATGAGGAAACCAAAGACATGCTTCCTGCCCAGTTAAAAAGCTCCTCAACAGCAGAACCACAAGAAAAATCTGGCTCACATATCTCCTGACTCAAATAACTTTTCCCCATTCTACCCTGCCTTTATCTCAGTTTAAAATACAGTCCTGCACTGCATAACAAAGTCTCAGGCAACGACAGATTTCATTTACAGTGGTAGTCCCATGAGATTATAATGGAGCTAAAACATTCCTGTCACCTAGTGACTTTGGAGCTGTTGGAACATCACACTGTAACGCATGACTCAAGTGTTTGTGCTCATGCTGGCAGAAACAAACCTTCTGCTAGTCACATAAAAGTACAGCACATACAATTATGTACAGTACATAACACCTGACAATGATAATAAATAATTGTTACCTGTTACGTATTTACTATACTTTTTATCGTTAGAGTGTACTCCTCCCACTCCTAAAAAAAAAATAATTACATATAAAACAGCCTCAGGCAGGTCCTTCAGGAGGCATTCCAGAAGAAGGCACTGTTATCACAGCTCCATGCATGTCATTACCCCTAAAGACCTTCCAGTGGACCAAGATGTAGAAGCAGAAGACAGTGATTTTGATGATCCTGACTCTATGTAGGCCTAGGCTAATGTGTGTGTTTGTGTCTTAGTTTTTAACAAAAAAGTTTAGAAAGTTAAAAAATAAAGAGGATTTTTTAATTTTAAAAAGTTAAAAAATTAAGAATAGAATAAGGCCTATGGAATACGGATATATGAAGAAAATATTTTTGTACAGCTGTATAATGTGTTTATGCTTTAAGCTAAATGTTATTACAAAAGAGTCCAAAAGTTTAAAAAATTAAGTTTATAAAGTAAAAATGTTACAGTAAGCTAAGGTTAATTCATTATTGAAGAAAAATTTTTAAATAAATTTAGTGTAGAGTAAGTGTACATTATTTATAAAGTTTACAGTAGTGTACAGTAATATCCAGGTCTTCACATTTGCCACTCACTTACTGACTCACCTAGAGCAACGTGTAGTTGTGTAAGCAGCGCTCATGGTAAGTGCTCTACACATGTATACCACGTATAACCTGTATTTTTAAAATCTTTTATATCATCTATGTTTAAATATGTTTAGAAACACAAAGACCATTATGTTACAGTTGTCTACACTATTCAGTACAGTAACATTCTGTATAGATTTGTAGTCTAGGAGCAATAGGCTATGCCATACAGTCTATGTGTAGTAGGCTATACCGTCTAGTAAGTACCGTCTGTAAGTACACTCTATAATATTGATATCGCTTAATGATGTAATTCTCAGAACATATTCCCATTGTTAAGCAACATATGACTATACTTAAACTGAATTCTTATAGAATCACCATCATTATTCCCATAAATGTAAAAAAAAAAAATTAAATTTCCAATAACACTACTTTGCACAAATGGCAAAGACAAGTTAAATGAAAACTTGAATTGAGAAATTTTAAATAACTGACTATAAGTTTTATTTTTCCCTGTCAATTAAAAAAATACAGAATATGAATTTCATCTCTTCTCAAAATTAAAATCTTTGAAGCCTATGTCTAACAAGAACTGAAATGGTCAAAAAACAGAGTACAGGAGAAAGAAAAGCTCAGTTTCTCAACTGATGGTTTGTATACTTGGGGGGCGCAAATAATAATAGATTGAAGCAGGTGCTTTTGAAAACAAAATTGTTTTAGTTCAGAGAAACATAAACATGAGAAAGAATGTGGTTCTATATAAATAACAAAATAGAATTTTTCCACAAAGAAAAAAATAAAAAGGCTAAAGATCATTCTGATAAAATTCCCTATGATGCAATAGAGCTGCAACTGTCCAATTGGTAGCCATGTGTGACTACTTAAATTTAAATTAATTACAATTTTAAAAATTCAGTTCTTCAGTCATACTGCACACATTTCAAGTGCTCAACAGCCACAGAGCTAACATACTGGACAAGCAGATATGAAGAATTTTGCATGCTGCAATGTAACTGGCGAAGTACAAAATGACATTTTCTTTTAGAAAGTGCTTTTCTGTAATTTTTCATCCAAATAAAGGTATGGATGGGAAGAGAGAAAAGTACAAATGAAAGAGAATAGAAAAAACATCCCATGAAAATAACATATTTAAAAACATAGTTAGAACATAGTTAAGTTCTAATGGCTTAGCAACTGATTAGCAGCAGATTCTTCTATCAATAAAGCACAGCATTTAAGTATGTGGATGGACTCCAGAGCAATCGGCCTGGTTTCAAATAGCTGCTCTGTCATCTACTACTGTTGATTTTAGACTTAATTTCTCTGTGCTGTGAATTCCTTACCTGTGGAATGGAGATAATAATAGCACTAATCTCACTGGGTTGTAGTGAAGATTAAGCAAGCTAATATATGTGAAATACTTTGTTTAGCTCAAAAAGTGACTGACGTATAGTAGGCACTCAATAAACATCAGCTATTGTTAGTATTATTGTTACTTTCAGGAAATGGTGATGTATCAATTTTAAGTACAAGCAAAAGCAAAAATAAAAATTTAATAGTACCTTGTGATGGTTGTGATCTACTAATCCTCCAATCACATAGGCCTTTGATTCATCTAATTCCTTCAGTATATTAGGTGAATCTGATGTAAGATAAATCAGGTCTTCTTTTTTTATGAGTTCACTATAGTGCTCTGGTTTGATATGGATATCCTTTAAGACAATGGGGAAAGAGATTACTAATTAATAGGACCTTATGAAAGTTGGCTAAAAATGATTATTCTATTTTCCCAAAACAAATCCAGTCAAAAACATATGAAACAAAGTTTGAAAGAATATAATTACAATGCATTATTTTGAATTTACTACATCAATTTCTTATAATCTCACATTTTGATCATTTAAATAGCCTCTTAATTTTGTTTCTTCGTTGTTGGCCTTAAACCCCTCCAACCTACTTCCACACACTGATAGCAAGCTCTAAAAACACTACTTTTAACGTTTTATCTTTTTCTGTGGGATAAAACCTAAACTTCTTAATTTAGAAACTCTTTCCTGAATATAGCACTAATCTACTTTGCCAGCTTTATTTCCGGTTCCAACAAAACAAATGCATTTTTACTGCCACATATTTGCTTACATTGTTCTACGACCAAAGAATGCCTTCTCCAATTACTTCCTCTCCATCTATATGAATCATGAAAGGGAAATAGCTGGCCAGGAGCGGTGGCTCATGCCTGTAATCCCAGCACTTTGGAAGGCTGAGGTAGGTGGATCACAAGGTCAGGAGTTCGAGACCAGCCTGGTCAACATGGTGAAACTCCGTCTCTACTAAAAATATAAAAATTAGCTGGGCATGGTGACAGGTGCCTGTAATCCCAGCTACTCAGGAGGCTGAGGATGGGGAATTGTTTGAATCCGGGAGGCAGAGGTTGCAGTGAGCCGAGATCGTGCCATTGCACTCCAGCCTGGGTGACAGTACAAGAGACTACGTCTCAAAATCCATGTATCTGTTTCTACAAAGAGACACACATTTGAAAACTTCTTCACCAAAATTGTCAGGTCACAGGTACAAAATTGAACAACAGCTGGCAGTCATGATTTTGTAAGCCACATTGATTGCATAAAAGATGTATTACCAGGCTCAGATGACATTTATCCATAATTTTTAATGAAACCAAGAATGAAGCAAAAGAACTCTCTCCTAAAATGTATAATAAATAAATAGCCACTTTTCTGGAAAATGTTATATTATAAATTTAATAAAGGCCCCAAGAAGAACCTGATTAATTACAGACCAATTAATCTCAATCTCTCTGGAAAGCTGATGGTATAAATGATAAATTTAACAAGTTGCAAAATAACTAAAAACATGCCTCTTTTAATTTATTACACTACTTCTTGGAAAACCAGGTACAAATGTAGGATTTGATAAATATATTGTACTTAAAAACTTAAAAGCCTTTGAAAATGTTTCATATCATAGGCTATTAATAAAATAAATGCCTTCATTATGGAATTAGTGAGTGTGAAAGGGAAAATATGTCACTGAGAGAACTGACTTTGAGAAAGAAAAAAGGTATAGGGATAACCCAGTACTTCTCTAAATAGGATCAAGTTCCTCAGGGACTGGTACCAAAGCCAATCTATTTAGTCACCTTTACCAATGACTGAGAACAATTTGGTCCAATAGAAAAAATTGTGAGGCCACATACGCAATTTTAAATATTCTAGTATCCGCATTTTTAAAAATGAAAATAGGTGAAATTAATTTTAACATTTTATTAACACAGTATACCCAAAATTTTATCATTTGAACATATAATAAACATTTCAAAAATTATCTAGGAGATATTCACATTCTTCCTCTCTCTTCTGTGGTACTGAGTCTTTGAAATCCTGTATGTATTTCACATTCATAGCACATCTCAATTCACAATTCAGACTGTCATATTTCAAGTTCAATAGCCACATGCAGTTAGTGGCCAGCACAGGGTAAGAAGAAACAGAATGCAGGCACACTTCCAAAATTTAGAGAGACTTCATTTTTATAGGTAACATATAATGTATAGTTAGTATGCCAGGGAGAAATTATATAAAGGCCCTTAAAATTATTTCTTTTTAAAAATATGTTTTAAAAGTTGACCATAAAATAGGTAAGATTTAATGAGAACAAATACAAGCTACCAGATATCTCACTCCCTTCTTCAGCATCTCTGATTTGTAATCTTAGACTTAGGTTCAGATATTGCATCTGGAGATTGTTGCATTAAGTAGCATTATATAGAGTTTAGGTACAAAATGTAGACCTTTAGAAACATAAAAATACTTGGAATTATGTGAGAGTTTATCTGTTTTAATTACCTTCCAGTTGACCCATCCTTTGTCATTTTCATCCATGTTCTTTTTCAGCTGGCCTCCATGGCTTGTCAAGTAAAACTGATAAAAGATTTGTAGGTATAGAGAGAACATATGACCATTTAAGTCTAATGTTTTATTTCTCTCATCTACTCATCTGATGATCAATAAAACACAAAATATATTTATTCTCATTTATCTAGAAAAAAAAATTTGTGACATGCTTTGAACATACAATAAACTGGGGCAGAAATAGTATGTTTCGTGTGCATGCTTCATAACCCAGTAGCTGCAGTATCCCATTTACATTTTCATTCCAAGTAGTTATAACATGGCTATACCTTAATCATCACTTGTCTGCAAATTCCCTGCTTCCATGTCAAGTTCCCAGTCCTCTTTTTTTTAAAACAATACAAAGTCTTCATAATTTTTCTTTGATTCTAAACCCTGATACCTATTTAAGTTTGAATCATAGGTGAGAAGGGGTCTACTACAGATAAAAATGGGGATAAAAGGACTATCACAGAAGTGTGATATGAAACTATAAAACAAAAAGTACAAAATACAAAAATTTAAAATTACTATTACTTGGTAAAAACATAATATCTAACCAAAATATATTAACAGTTCCTGGTTCTTAACATCAGTGAGCCAGTATTAATTTTTAGGTCACCTAGAATTCCAACACAAAGATGTTATTGTTAACAGTAGCCAAATAGTCTCCCAAATCACTCCCTCATCTCAGCTTAAAAAAGACTTGACAAAACTCTCAGTGACTCAAAAGAAAACTAAAAACCTTTAAGTAGACAAAACCTATACAACAGATACCACAGCATATATCAAGCGGTGGCAGCCACAGCTTCTGCCTCTCCATCCAATCTCTCTCCCACACTGGAAGTAATTGTAAACTGAGAAACTGGTATAAAAATATATGTACGTCCCATAAAGAAGATATTCAACTACAGGCAATTAAAAGGTCAATTTGTGTAAGACTGATGATTACTGGAAACAGTGTGTCTAAGATCACATATTAAAAGATGTTTAAAATATTTTGCTTTATTTTTGTCAAAAAAGAAAACATTTTTCAAATAGGCATTAAAAAAGATTATCTGTAAGACTCCTGCAAAGACTATAGGAATTATCTATGTCTTTTGCCACAAAAGATATAAAAGAAAACTAGAGTCTGCTTTAAAATCTTCAGACATACCTGCACAGGATGCAGTGCCCGTCGGTTTTCTGCGTAACATCGTTGAATCTGCTTATGAAGTTTCTTAATGTCCTATTACAGAGTCAATTTTTAAAGCAAAGTTATTAAAATTGTCTATGGCCATTCCACAATCTTAAAGGAATGAAATAGGCAGAAGGGATGACTATATACATACAATTTTTCTTCTTAAATACAAATGCATTCTGATAAATGTTATTTGATTTCCTTACATTAACAAAATTACTCTAAGTTAATGCTCTGTAAGTGACCCATTATTACATATTTTGTATTTATTTAAAATGCTAGTTCATGAAAACAGTTACTGTCTTAAGAGACAACAACAACAAAAGACTTTCAGAGCCATATTACTATTTTTATGTTTTACCAACAACACTGGTAAAACCCCGCAGATCTTTATGAATAATAAGTGGTTAATTTAGTTCTGTCATCTAGATTGTGAAGTGTGTGTGTTTGTCTCTCTTTCCTGTCTGCACACATACTGACACACACACATATAAATATACATATTTATTATATCAATGCAATTTGCTAGCTAATTTAACTTAGGGGAAATAAATTTTGAAAAACTTAAGATTCATTTCAATACACAAATTTATATAAAAGGGATATTACATATTAAAACCAAAATGATTTGATCTAATTCATATACAAGATTTTTCTGACAATGATTCATGATACCTTTAATACCATCAAGTCATCAAAACTACAGTCAATAATAAGGCGAAGGGTGCTATGAACAACATCTCTTCGAACACGTTTTCTGTCATTTCCATCTGAGTTTGATTCCATTTGACATTGTCGCTCCAATTTTTTCCTCTTGCGTTTTTCTTTCCGCTTTTGTCTAAAATTAGTAATTGAAATAACATTTTGTTATTGTGTATTCAGTTATTCACAACTCTTCTATATAAACAACTACTTCTAAAAACCATCAAGTTAAGCCAAATGAAATTGTCACTTCTGTGACCATTCAAAAATGGTCAAGTATTAGCAGTTTTATACAGTACATCTAAAAGCTTCAGATAGGAAGGAAATAAGCTTCCAAAAATGATCTAAAGCTTTCTGTCTAAATCCTAACTATACTACCTGAAGAGCTTCATTTGTTATTGGTATCATATTATCCCTAAGAAAACCCTCTAAATACTGAGTTTGAGTTGTATTGAATTTTACTTTCATAATTCACCTAGATGATTTTTAAGCCACATTTATAAGGTATAGAAAAAAGCAAAATAAAATTGTTCATTAAAAAAATTACATACTTTTGCTCTAATTTATACCAACTATAGTTTATTTTCTCTCCACAAACTTTGGCATTTATCATAGTAACAAATTTAGACTAATTGCTTTCACCAAAACCTGCAATGGTTCTTGTGGTAAAATCAATGTTAGGCCAAAACTTGATCTTTCTGAGTTGGCTGTTTTTATTCCATAACTAGCACATGGACACTAATTACATCCCTTATCTAAGTCAGTTGTTTCAAAAATTGTGCTGCTACTCATAATAAGGTTCTGCATGAGAAAAAGTGTTGAGTGCAAGATCATCAACAGTGCTAAAAGATACCCCAATAATAATGTTAAAAAATAGTCTTAACAGCCAGTTGACAGTGTTAGCTAACAATATACATTTTTAGCTTCAATTTTTTTCTCTTGCGTTTTTCTTTCTGCTTTTGTCTAAAACTAGTAAATGAATTTTAAGTAACAAAAATATGCCAAAGGGCTATGCAAGGTCTAACATTCCATATTTCTAAATAGGAAGAGAGCATATACATTTGAAACACATACTTGCGGAGTTCCCGTTGCTCTTCCCATTGTTTCTGTTTTATTAGTTTTTTCATTTGTCGTTTAGATATTGGTTCACACCCTTCACCTAATCTTGGCTTCTGGCTTTCCTCTTGATGTTCATTTATGCCTTGCTTTTTGTCAACATTAGACGTTTCAATAAATGCTGGCAACATTTCAGATGACATTATTTGGTGCCTCTGAAAAACAACTTTTGACATGAACAGATAATTTACAAGCACAAAAAAGTTAAAAAACTCAATCAATATGATTAAAGTTAAACCATACAATAAATAGAAATAAAACTTTAGACAAATAAATGTCATTTATTGGTAACTATCATTTAAATACCATTTAATATAAATTAAATATCATTCATCAGCAATGCTAGCAAAGTTCTAAAGAAATGGGGTGTTTCATATACTATTAGTGGTCACGGTACAATTTTTCCAGAAGGCAAGACATACATGTTTTAAGAGCTTTAAAATCTCTATTTAGACACCCTTTGATCCAGTAATTTATTTCGTTAAATTTCTGTAAATAAATCAGACATGCACACAAAAATGTGCACAAGAGTACATGCAATGAATGCAGTGTTAAAAAACAGTGAAAAGTTAGAAACCTCCTGAATGTCAGTGAAAGGAAACTAAACAATTATGGTTAATCTATAACATGGGCAAGGAATACTAAGCAGCCAGTAAAACGTATATATCCAAAATTACTTAGCAAGGGGAAACGGTTATACGTTAAATAAAACCAAATAAAACAATATATACGTTACGACCAACTTTTTAAAAAAGGTATACACACACACAAGTTTAATTCTTACCCATGGTTTTCTACATTTTCTAAAGTTATGTAATGAAAATGTTTTTAATAAAACAAAAATTTTAAAAAGAGATGAAAAGCATCTTTTCTATAGTCTTCTTTAATGCTGTAGAATGAGGGAGACTATGAAAAGACAGAACTGATTTTTAAAACTGATATCAATAACCAGGAAATAAATTCACTTGATACAAATTAAAAATAGGGCAATCTGAAAATGACTTTAAAATAAATTTGGCTGAAACATTTCAGAGAGGTCATAAGGGAATAATAACTATAAGAACAAAACAGAAAATTGTGATATAAAAGCAGGCTTTACTAAAAAGTAAAACAAAAACCTGAGAAAAAGAACAATTTGAAAACTAGCAAATGAAGACATAAAAACTTCAATAGAAGAGACAAACTCCAGATTACCTGGAGTCCCAAGAAGTAACTGATGACTTAGAAGACATCCTGACAATCTGACTCAGGATGCAGACAAAAATCGAACAGAAAAACAATATGGAGGAGCAGTAAAGACTTGGATAACAGAATGAGAGAGATAAAGGAAAACAAGGTAATTAGAGATAAACATATAGCCTTGAATGCAACTGTTTTTCTTTTTTTTTTTTGAGGACGGAGTCGTCGCAGATAGCTGTGTCGCCCAGGCTGGAGTGCAGTGGCGGAATCTCGCTCAGTTGCAGTCCGGCCTCCCGATGGTTTTTCGCACTTTCCTGCCTCGTCTGTGCGCCCCGAGTAGCTGGTGACGTAGCCAGGCGCGCACCACCTCGCCGCTATCTTTTTGATTTTTGTAGAGACGGATGGTTGTACCGTGTAGCCAGGATGGGGTCTCGGAACTCCTGGACCTCGTGATCGCCGCCGTCTCCGGCCTCCAAAGTTGCGTGGGATTACAGGCTTGGGCCAACCGCGCCGGGTTTTTTTGGCTAGGGAAGAAGTGTAGGTAAGGCACTCAATTTGTAAGAAACGAGGTAGGGGAAACTGAATAGAGCTAAAAGATACCCATGGAAAAAAATTTTTTCAAACTGATATATTTTGGATTCCCTGGATCTTTTATTTTTTCCTTTTTTCATATACACAACTACATTAAATATAAATTCCAGCAATGCAGGTATCCAAACAATTCGGGTGGAGAAACTTTAAAGCACTTAAATCACAGAAAACAAAAACTGTTCTTCTCACGAAATAATATATTCCCATGAGGGAATTTCTGTTATCCAGTGGCATTATTTCAGTGTATTCTCTATTTTATTCAAAACTGCACGTTGTCTTAGCCTTCTATGTGAAGATTTTTTTTTTTTTTTTTGAGACAGGAGTCTCGCTCTGTGGGGCCCAGGCTGGGAGTGCAGTGCCCTTTCTCGGTTCACTGCAAACTTCGCTCCCAGGTTTCAGCGGTGATTCCCACCGCCTTTCAGCCCTTCTTGACTTAGCTGGATTCCAAGGGGCGGCGACCACCATCGCGTAGCTTAATTTTTTGTTATTTCTCAAGTACAGAAGGGGTATGCCCCACGTTGTCAGGGCTGGGTCTCGAACTCCTGGACCTGGGCTCCAGTGGGCCTGATCTTCGGGCTTCACTGCCAACTTCCGCCCTCTCCCGGGTTCCAGGCGCATTCACTTGCCTCAGCCTTCTGACGTAGCTGGGATTCCAGGCGCGCGCCACACATGCTGTGCTAATTTTTGTATTTTTAGTAGGAGAAGGGGGTTTAACCACCAGTGTTGGTTCCAGGCTTTGGTCTCAACTCTGACCTCGTGATCTCCGCCATCGGCCGTCCTGAAGGTGCTGGGATTATCAGACAAACAACAGGACCAGGCCTCGTGAAGACTTTTTAAAAAGCAATTAATGTTTTACAGTTTATGTACACCAGGGGGAGCATTTGCTTTTCCTATCCAAGAAGTCTGCAGTTAAATTTAATTTGACCTGTCATAGTATAGCAATGTTTCAGTCTCCCAAATACAAGGAAAGGTGATGAGCTGGTCAACATCTTCATCTTCATCATCACCATCATCATCACCATCATCTTTTTAAAAACTATTCCTAATTAAGAAAACACACTGTACTAAGTGAAGTTGTTAGGCTTTAAACAAGCCAGGTGCACTGAGACAAATGGAATGCAACAAAAATGATGCCAGCTTGATATCTTATAAATTATTCCTTATAGTATACTTTACAAAGATATCTACCAACTCGCACTGTCTACACTATACAATAAGTATAATGTATATCTACACTGCACTATGTACCAGCGTGTTCAGATTGAATGTTAAGCAAAACATAGCATTTTATTAGGTATACTTGCTTTCTAATCGTTTTAGTTTGGGCGATAATTTATAAAATTCTGTGGCAGTTGTTCATTCCTTTCTCACATGCAGTGATGCTCACCGTACATTTTCATTCATTCAACCAAGTTCAACAAATGTTCAAGAATGTATTTTACAGTAACTATAAAAATATTTGTGTGAGGTCGGGCGCAGTGGCTCATGCGTGTAATCCCAACACTTTGGGAGGTCGAGGTGGGCGGATCACCTGAGGTCAGGAGTTCGAAACCAACATGGCGAAATCTCGTCTCTACTAAAAATACAAAAATTAGCCAAGCGTGGTGGTGGACGCCTGTAATCCCAGCTACTCAGGAGGCTGAGGCAGAAGAATCCTTTGAACCTGGAAGGCAGAGGTTTCAGTGAGCCAAGATCGCATCACTGCACTCCAGCTAGGGCAACAGAGCAAGACTTCGCCTCCTGTATGTGTGTGTGTGTGTGTGTGTGAAATTTTACTTTTGCATAAAATTTTAAAAATCTGTAGGGTTCATTTGCAGATATAGGTTATCAGGTGGGCTTACAAACTATCTTACATTGTATTTACATATCTTAGCACAGCTTAAGGCAAGGAGGATACATCCTAAATCAATGAGCACCAAAAGAAATAAAAAAGTTTTTTAAAACGGCATTAATTTATGGATTGGGATAAAATAAATATTCGTCGTAATTTATGACAGTCTCCCTTTCAGAAAAATCTCAACGAATGTGGGAATAATGCAGATTAGAATTAATGACTTGACAGCAATAGCAAAAGAATGCCCTTTTTTTTTTTTTTTTTTTTTTTTTTTGAGACCCAGTCTCGCTAGGTCGCCCAGGCTGGAGTGCAGTGGCGAAATCTCGGCTCATTGCAACCTCTGCCTTCCGGGTTCAAGCAGTTTTCCTGCCTCAGATTCCTTAGCTGGGATTACTGGCATGCGCCACCACGCCCGGCTAATTTTGTATTTTTAGTAGAGACGGGGTTTCACCATGTTGGTCAGGCTGGTCCCGAACTCCTGACCTCAGGTGATCTACAACACGCCTTACCCTCCCAAAGTGCGGGGATTACAGGCGTGAGTCACCGCGCCTGGTCAGGAATGCCCTTTTTAAAGACATGCTGGCTAAACGTGGAGCAGCGAAAAGCCCTTTCACTTCAGTTGTCAAGCCTTTTGAGCAGAGGGTTGGGAAGGCAAGGGGCAGAGGAGATTCAGAAAGTGACAAGTAATGTGTCGCCATCCTCTTTATATCTCTAGAAAAATTCCCAAAATTTAAAGTAGTTCAGTGAAATCAAGTAACACTTCGATCTTTTTAAAACTGTCCTCAGCTCACAGCACCTGCAGCAATTTCCCCTCGGGCTTTCTACATTTCAGAGGGTTCAGTCACGTCAGCCCTTCGCAGGAAAAATGAGGTAAGGCACCTTTAAAGAGGTAACGCCCACGGTCTCTGGCCACGAAGTGGCAGGGTCATAACACGCTTTCCGGCCCTTTAGAGTACAGATTTCCCTCTCATTCTTTGCAAACTCACTTTTAACATACTACGGGCCGATGGCAACCCCAAAACACACGCCGACGAAGAGCACACAACCACAGGGGCGGAGCCTCGCCCACTCTCCCTTCTACGCTCCCAGCCAGCGAACGCATTTCAGAGGCGGGATTAAGCTGCTGCTGGCGAACCAGGAAGCAGCTGGGTAGGCCGCGGGAGGCGCCTATCAACGACGTCATTTCCTTCGGCAACAGCGCCGCAGGCAACCACTTCCACACCACTGCTCCCCTCTACCCCGGAAGCCCTTGTTGGTAGTCGGGGGCTGCATGGCACGCACCCCTTTGCGCCCAAATAATATCATAGTGCGGGGGAGCGCCAGCCAGTGCAGGACACTTACCGAGATGAGGAGTTGATAGGGAAGTGAAATCTCAGAAAGAAAGCCTTTCTAGGTTGGCCTGGTTACCGCTCACGCTTCCTTCCACAGAAACTTCAATTCCCAGAGGCAGGGGCGGTAGTTACACAGTGGAGGCTACGGCGGTTGCGTCTTACGTCATCGAACTGCGCCAATTTAGAACCCGCAATGGGAGAAAGGGGAGGGGTTTATGCGGGGCGGGGTGTGGAGTTAGGGTTTTGGGAGTGGGAGGTAGTTACAGTGATGTCTGTTTTTTCACGTTCAAGAAGTAAGTGTGTACCTGCAGACGTGTATTTATTCATTCATATATTCTTGTGAGTATTGGGTGGAGGAATTAAGATAGTCCCACCGTTAAAAATGCAAAATAACGAAGAAAGGCTTGTAATTTGTCTGTGTTCAAAATGAAACGCATCTCTTGCCTATATTATTTTTAATTTATACAGCAAATTACCATATCACATGATTTTACATAGCTCAAGTAGAAAATTAAATTCGAAAAGTGAGTCAGATTCACAATAAAATGCATTTAAATTTAGAATCTGTAAGGCTTTTTTATGGCTGAAGTAAAACAGCCATAACTTTACTCTTTATTCATTCCTTGAGCTGTTTTTCCTATGCTGTTTTGCAGAACATCAGATAGCATTTCATTGTTTATAATACTTGACCTTATATAATCTTTTTGCTATATATAGACCATGTCAACTGAGAGAGAAATGAAACACAATCCCATAGATTGTCGTTTTCTATTTAGTTTTTTCCCTCTACTTCTAATAGGTGATTATTGCAGAATTTGAAGATAAGAATGAGGTTTGCATCTTTGAATAGAAGACTGGCTTCTCATATAGAAATAATTTTGAAGTAAATTATCCTTGATGCTTGAAGGTATTTGAACATGTTTAAAGGCTTCAATGAATAGAAAGTTAAATCCAGAATTTGAGGTTCTCTAAAAGAGCCGAAATTTCTTTGACTTTAGTTACAAAACTACAGTCTTGCCATAAGCCCTTAAATTTTACTTGAAACACTATGTCAGCTATAACACTGTTGTGAGTCCCTCTTCTGTTTCTTCCTCATCTCAAACCTAAAAGATCTTTGTTAACTAAGCACTAGCAAAAAAGTCTGGATCCACTTCTGATCTGTTAGTAGGGCATCTTTTTTCAGCTGCCTCCATATCAGGGCAAAGAGTAGCTGTGGGAGGATTAGTAATTGGATATGTAGCCCTTCACATGTAGGTCATTAAATTCAGGCTGGCAAAGTAATGTGCCAAATCTTTCCACAGCTGTTCAGTTGCTTCTATGGGATCTGTTTTATAAATAATTATACATTTTTTTCAGAGTTAATACCTGGCATCCTTAGATATTTTAAGCAAAGTTTTAAAGCAAAAAAACAAAAAAACAAAAAACAAAAAACAAAACAAACAAAAACACTTCATATTCTAATAATGAAGTCAATAAATTTTCTTTTGACATGGACATTTAACTTTGTAGTCACTTGGTGCAAAATTTAAAATTATTCTAGTATTAATCCAAAGTAAGCACCAAAAAAGCACCAGCAAAAAAGTCAATTTAACAAAAAATTGAAACATGGAAAGTTTAAGAAGGTGAAATCATATGAAACAATATTTTCATTGATTTGTAAAATTTATGTGTTTATTTATTTGACACATGTATCGAGTTCTATACTTTTTGTGTTAGTACTGGTGATACAGAAATGACTGTCATCCTTAAGGATGTCCTTAAGGAATCCTTAATCTAATAGGGGAGCCAGCAGTAAATAAATACAACATGTACTTGAGATGCTTGTACTTTGAAAGAAGCAACTAAATGCTCCTTGAGGCAAAACATAGTTTTGGAGATTAAATAATTTTGTTTCATCTTGGAAAGTAAGTAGGAGTTGTACAGGTGTCAGAACAGTAAAGAAGTTTAAGATTTGGGAACAGTGAAAGCAGAGAAGCGTGTCATAGTTTTGCACATGACTGAAAAGCTGTGGATAGAATGAGGAAGAAGGAGGAGATAAAAACCCTAAGGGCTTCTCTGACTTGGACAACTGTAGCAATGCAGTAACATTACCGAGATCATTTAGGGAATACTGGAAGAAAAATAGGTTTTGAAAAAATAGTTTTGTTTTAAAATATGTAGATTCTGGGGAGTCTGCAGGACATCTGAGTAGAAACAGATTTTAAAAAGAATGAGCACATACTTGTAGTTTAAGCCAATATAAGAGGTTGAACTCAAAGAGATACTACTCCGTGGGTTACAAATGCATACTATCTACGGGGACTGGAAGGTAGCAAATGAGAGAAGCGTCTGGAAGCAAAGTATTACAAAACTGAGAGTACATTTCCTCTTTAATCAGGGTGCAAGTTCCAAGAGAGAATATGAGCCTAATGACACCAGAATATGAGCCTAATGGCATCATTTTTTTAAGAACAGCCATAAATATGAAATCTGGTTTTAAAGTGTTGGCAGCTATTTAGTTTGTTTTAAAATACTGAGCAGACTAAATAAAATATGTCTGTGGGCCACATTCAGACAATTGATAACCAGTTTGTTAAATTGGACCCTAGTTGGTAGAATAAGAAGGAGGCCACAGATAGAACTGGAACTTTAGAATATAAAAATACAGTAATAACTATGATTATGAACCCCTCCATAACTTTGATTTCAAAATATTGGGCAATCATTACAAATTTCATTATTTTAAGCTTAATTCTGATTTTAAGTCTTAGGATACTCTTCAGCAAGTTGTGAGTGAGGAGATGTGGAAGTAGAATAACACTTGTGAGTACTTTAATTTCAGTCTAGGAAAGCCAAAAAGAAACCCATTTTTAAACACGACTTGAAAGGTAGCTAAAAGGAAGAATCGACCACTCATCTATAATCATTTCAACCTGCATTTCGACCGACTCCAAAAATACAGAAAAAAAGTTTAAAATGTATTTGTACATTTACATATACATACATATTACTCATATCCTCCCAAGTAGTACATGAATGTTGAAGACTCTGGGAAGATGATTAGAGAGGCAGTGTAGTCTGTGAACCTCCTGAATCTCCTCATAAAAACAGGTAAAGCATCTAGGATAGAAAATAACAATCCCAGAAGATAGCTATAACATAACTAGGTGAAAAGGAATCCCTACAAACCTCACAATGTGAACAGGAAGGAGCAAACCCAACTTAATATCGGCAACTGTGTAGGAGAGAGTGGTGGGAAAACAACAGATCATCTGAAGACCCTCAGAATGGGAAGGCCCCAAAACTGCCAAACAAATAATCACTAAAAAACAGAGGAAACCAATGTGAGGTTGGCGGCAAAACTGGCAGGTTGTTCATCTGACTCTAAGCTCAGCTAAGTGTGAAGGAATAAGCAGGAGGGTCTGAAGCTGCTGGAGGGACGTGAGGCCTGTGAAGTCTCAAAACCAACAAACTGGATCTCCATTCTTGAACGTAGCCCAACACTAAGGAGAAACTGCTGAGAGTTGAATCCAAATTGAACAAAACAGAGACAATGCGGCCAAGAAAAAAGCAGATGCAGATAAAAGTGGAGAATAGAGAGGAGACAGATCTCAGAAAATATAAAGACACATGTGTGTCATTTTATGAAATACTAGAAAAGGAACCTCTAGAGCCATGAAACTGGAAAAGCTATTCTACCCAATCCTCCCTCTTAAAAATACAGCATAACTTAATTAGCCTAAAAATGCACCACAGAAAAGGATCGTGGTCGAATTTCATTTAAAGTTGCTATAATAGAAAAAAGAATATGAAGCCAAAAAAAAAAAAAAAAGATCCTGAAGAGCCAAAGCAATATTTCAAAACAGCAAATTTTAAATAATAGAAAATATTGAAGAACAACATGAAAATGATTCAAAAATGAATATTTGAGGATGAATAACAGAACTCAGAAAATAAGAAATATACAAAGCACACCCATATATTCACCATTATACTGGAAGTTCTAACCAGTGCAATAAGATTTAAAAATCAAATAAAAGGAAGAAATAAAACCATTTATAGATGACATGAATATCTATCTAGAAAATCCCCAAAAATGTATCAAAAAAGACCCTCACTAAACTAATAAACAATTATAGTAAGGCCTTGTGATATAAGGTTAACATGCAGAAGTCAATTGCCTTCCTATACAGCAGCAGGGCAGAACTGGAACTTGAAATTAAAAAGCAACAACCCCTCCAAAATGAAATAGGTATAAATCTAACAAAATTTGAACAGAATCTACATGAAGAAGTTGCGAAACCGATGAAAAAAGTCAAAGAAGATCTAAATAAATGGAGAGAGATGTATTCATAGATTGAAAGACTTGATGCTGTAAAAATGAGCCAATCTTGGTGTCCAGATCTTGGTTTCTAGTACAGTTCTTCAATAAAGGAAACCAGGGATTCTTGGAGAAGTGACTGATTCTAAGATTGGAGTAAAAATGTACAAGATGAGCTGGGAGCATCTTGCAGTGCCAGATAATAAGGAGATGCTAAAAACCAAAACCAGAATCAGAACCCAAACAAAACACATTTATGGGCATGTCAAAGGAACACGGGGCCAACTGAAGGAACTCCCAGTGGCTAAAGATAGAACAATTGTAGCAACAGAGAAGGATTTGACTATAACCTAAAATATAAATTAAATATGCACAAGTCCTTATTGATATAGTGATTAAATAAATCAATGGGAAATCAAAGACAAATTTCCCATGCGGAGGAATTCAAATAATTTATGTAGCTACTCCACCCTCAAGGAGGAGGAACATAACTCCCAACCCCATAAGTGTGGGATGTACATAGCACTTCCTTCCAAAGAGCTCAGTATGAAAAAAAGGGAGAAAAAACAAATTAACTTTACAATGGAGAAATCTGACAACACTGCTCAGCCAGATGATCAAAGTCAATGTAAATAGAGATAAATCATGTTGATATTATGTAC